GTCACACACGCCCCTCTGAAGAAGCCCCGGCTATCGGGGGGAAACGCGTCAGGACAGCGTGTGTTCTAGCTTCCCAGGACACCCATTATTGATTTCTGAACGGTCGGGTGAGAGCAGGACAGAGGATCTCCGCAGCCGCCGGATCTAGTGGACTAAGCAAACCCGATGCGGATACTGCCTAAACACAGCAGCAGTAGATCTTGTTCACTGCAGCCAGGACCGGGAGACGTAAGCGAGTCCTTGCCAGTGTAAATACACACAGCTTTCATTCCTTCCCGTGTCACTGGACACACTCCTGCGAGGACTCCACCACATTCCATCCCACAGTGCGGCCGCACGAGTGGGAACTTTCTCTGAGGCTCCTTTCCCTCAAACTGGAGTCTAATCCCACACAGTGGTGTGAGTAAAAATGGACGGGGAGGAAAACATTTAAGGAACCTCTGCTCCGCCATTGAAGCGGACCTTTTTGAAATGAAATCGTTACAAACGGATACATTGTTTTGAAACAATCTACATGCATGCATCGCTGTGGGCTATAACAAGGACTACTCCATTACGAGTCACAAAACACAACGTGAGTACAGCTCCGTTTTTGATATATCACCATTTTGCATGCACCAGAGACTTCCTGCACTTTAGGAGATTTATGTATCCAAACATCCGTATCATTACATTTAGGTGATTCCAGGGAAGCTTTTTTAATTGTTTTTAAATGTTTTGTATAGGTGTCTTTATGTATAAATGACCATTAAATTTTGTTATACTACTTAATTATTTGTGATCCATTTGCAAGACCATCTCCTTTTTGAGGGATTTCTCTTTACAGGGGACAATATATGTTTTGAGTAGTCTATTGAAACCCTGGAGTTTGGTCATACATATATGTTTTTGTTTCATTTAGCGTTAAACTCCTTCTTGTTCCCTTGTTTTTTTTCTAACCATTTTATGAAGTCCCAAATATTACAAACAAAGAATGTATGTAATAGTACTTGAAATAATACTACATATTAAAATAGTACTGCATATAAGAATATAAGTATTAACACATTAGTAGCTAATAATACTTTTGTGGACACAGGTGTTTAAAAAACAGTGTGCAAGCTCTATGGAGAACAGGGTGAGGAGCCCTGTGTGAAACAACAAAAAACAGATAGATTGAGCCTGGCTACGTGGGGAGAGCGAGCTGGGGCACGTATACAGGCTTGACAAAGAGGCGGTGCCTCGAAACACGTAGCAACCGAACCCACAGAGCACTACCTACTCAGACTGCTCTGAGAACCCTCCGACCCCACACCACCGTGTTATTGCAGCATCGGATCGCGGTCTTACAGTGTTACAGGACCGCTCAGTCTCCAGAGTCACCTGACCCTCTGACGTCCACTCAGCGTGTGCCTCTTACTGCTGCTACGGCTCAGCCTGGCCAGCTGAGTCCACACAGATAACAGCATTTGCCCCCACTATAAGCCTAAATCCACCCAGGCACCCACCCATCTACTCCTTTTCAATTGATCTTTTTTTGCCTTTGCTAAAGCTACGTTTGATCAGTGATTCCAGTGGATCTCTCCCTGAGACATCGTTACATCCTAAACGTGAGTGAGCTTTGCACTATTTATACAGTAGTAGCGCTCTCAATCTGTTTTTTTAAAGTATATCTTAAGCCAAACTTTTTTTAGAGCAGGAAACTGTTACAACCCATCAAATGTTTTTTTTATTTTTGTGGACTGTGTTTAAATGGAGAACATCCTCTCCTAGAATGTTCTCACTGGAACAGGTGTCCCCATTAGAAGATGTCCACTCTATTCCTGTTCCAGTGACAACTGTAAATTGTTGAGTTCTCATAATTTTCTGTCCCCATGAAAATGGTAATCAGGACAAAAACAGGTTGCATCTCCCCAGCTGGGACACAGATAACAATAAAAACCTTACATGTTAGCTGGTGTTTTTAAAATATCTGCAAGGAGTTTACTTTAACTTTCACTAGAAACACCCCACTTCAAAAATGTTCTTTGTGCAACCTATCCCCTTGATGAAATGCATAGGCATCTTGATTTGGGGCTATTTTGCTTCATGTAGGTCAGCTCTAATAGGATTGTGTGCCCAATATACCAACTTAAGTCTCAAAAGGCAGGCAGACAGGCAGCATAAAACCTTCCAAATCTTAAAGTGACATTAAAGGATAATTTTTTTCCCCTCCCCCCAATGTTAATTAAAGCACTTACCTTAAATGATGTCTCTTAATCTGTTCTTCCTCTTCTTTCCTGTCCTTTTCAGCCTTCTCTCCAGCGCTGCTGCGGGTCTCCGATCCAGTGCTGACTCCTCTGTCCTTGCTGGCACTTCCTGTCCCACGGTGTCTGCATGCGGGTGCACGCGTCCATAGACTTACCTTGCGCCTCTCCTCATCTCCCGGACCAAAAATCTGAACTGCGCATGCGCCCGACCCAAGATGCTTTGCAGCCGCCCGAGCAGTTTCGGATATAGAATGTGACTTTTACTAAACATTCACTGATAGGGAATTAATCACAGTCATTTGAAAACACATTAAGAAGGTCCATCTGAAGTGAAAAGTTGTGTAACTGTCAGATTAACTGCTTCATAAATATGTCCCTACCTATAACAACAAAACATGAATAAGATTTTTGTTTACTCCCTAAACAGCATTCCACTTTGCTTTTAGGTTCTATAGAGTTTTAAAAACAATTATTTACGCTTCATATTGCACACTATAGCAAACAAATAAAGCACTTATTTTCTGTCTTGAAAGCATACAATAAAAACTGTGATTCCGGTCTAAAAGCACATGACATACTGTTATCTGTTCCATAAGCATAGCATTTGTTGCTTCTGTTTCATGCAGCAAACCACTCAGATGATCCACACTCTTTGATGCTGTGTTGAGCTTCTCAGTTAGTTCTTCCCTGGAAATTTCAGGTTGCCATTGGGGTGGCTCTACAGCTACAAACAAAAAAAGTAAAACAAAATGATTTACATGAAAACTGCACTAAGCAAGTTCTGTAGATATATACAAAATTGCAACAAAGAAAACGTAAATAGCTTATCTGAAGGATCTTTGCTGTTTTTTCCCCCTCTCAGATAACACTTGCTTCCGCTAACTATCATGGACACACTAGGGGAGTTTGTGAAGCCTAGAGCAAGTAAAGTGCATATTAAAAAGGTCAGTCCACCTATAAGTGCTATTTCAATTATAGGACGAATCAGAGGGAGGGGTCACCCATCACCTGTTGGTTTCTTATATCCAACTCTGCTTATTTATTTCTCTATTAGGAGTGAGATTCCTCTCACGATGGCTGTGGCTGTGTGCAAACCTGAAACCCAAGAGCAGAAATCTACTGTGGTACTTTAGAGCCATAAGAGCCTGTTTTGTGGTTCATCACCTAAGCCATAGTTAGGCAAAATTTGTCGCAACATTGCTTATGACTACTACTGTACAAGTTCCTAGAGGTATATTGTGTATGCTGAGCATTAATATCTGGTACAAATTTTTTTAAAAAAATCAATGCTCTAGTTTTGCATCCTATAGTTAAATACATTTTACCTACACTCTAATACATTTCACAGAAGAAAAGCAGTTACCTCGATGTGCCTACTTGTAATTTTACACACCCGTGGTACCTTATTGTTAAATAGTGACAGCAATCCGTGAGAACAAACTTTGTCTATACCCCTCCTGCACATTATTATTGATACACCTACAGTAAGGTACAGGATGTCACATCCCAGACCTATCTACCAAATGGAGTGTACAGGGCATCACAGGTCACTTGGCAATATAGTGCAGGTACCTTCCTGCGATTCATGTTTTCAATGTAGTAGTAATTTCATTTACAAAGATTTTATTGTCATTTTCCAAAAGTGAATAATTATAAGTTACAAAGAAGGCTTTGCTGATAGCGAGCAAGCAGGGATTGCGTGATCCAGGTAATAAACATATACAAAAAAAAGGAACATAACATCTCAAACAAAGAACATCCAATAGGGAAAGACAGTGCATGAGCTAGATTAATGTGGATAAACATCTATCACAGATCGGCTATAAGCATATGTTCACTGCTCCTGGACTACCCTTTTAAACCATATCAAGGAAAGAGACAGATGAAGAGGAGAAGGAGTGGCACAACATTAACAGAGTTCTAGAAAGAGGGAATAGGAACGAGTGAATAGGAAGTAGTGCCAGACACCGCCACAACGCAACCTCCAAGGAGCCTGACTGGCTAGATGGCCGTGAAGCTCTCCTGAGGCAGGGTGGGATGGGCGTATGAAATGCAAGAATCCCAGATTCTCATAAAACGTTTGTGTGTCCAAGAGGATGCTAGACAATTTCTCATTTATAAAAAAAAAAAAAAAAAAAAAAAAATTGCAAAAGAAAGTAAAAAATTTTTCACTAATAAAAAAAAAAAAAAAAAAAAAAAAATCTATCCTGCGTCGCACTTCTGCAAATGAAACAAACTGCTTTTTCCAGGCCTGAGGTATGGCCTGTTTAGCAGCCAAGAAAATATAGACAGCAAACTTATGCTGTGACTTGGTAAGAGTTGCTGGTTTGAAATGCAGAAGTGTGAACCAGGGATCCCTGGGTACTCGTTTCTGGAAAAGGTTCCAAAATAGACGGAATGTGTGCGTCTAAAGCCTGTTAATCATGGGGCAAGATCACCAAATGTGTAAAACGTCCCCATTAACAGAACAGCCACGAAAGCAGAAGGCCAACTGAGTAGGGCATACATGGGCTAATCTGGTGGGGATCATGTAACATCTCATTATAGATTTATAGGCAACCTCCATGGATGTAATACTAATGGTGCATGTGGCCGCTGTGGTCTAGATCTGCTGCCATTCTGCTTCGGATTTTGAAGCACTAAGGTCTCGCTCGCTAGCCATGTCTCAGCCAGGAGGAAAAAGAGTTAAGGTGTGCATAGAGTATAGATATCAATTTTAGTTGTAATGGTGTATGGTAACAAATGTGTTCAAAGGTGGACAAGGAGGTTGGTGTCACTCTGTTGGTGAAATAGAAAGAGGCCCAGTGTGGTAGCAGCATGTAGCGGAAATATTCCACTGCCAGGGCATGGAAAGTCTCCTGAATGGAGGGCCAGCTGCGGAATGTTTCTCCTTCTCCAAAAAGTTATGGAGGCAGGAGAACTTGTGAGATTTCCACCACGCAAATGCCCCAGGTGAGTCCAGAATGTAGTAGTTTGTGTCAACACAAGTGAACTTTAAGCAACTCTTTCAATAAGCTGAAAATTGCATGTAATGTTTAGTGTAGGATGTATAAACTGATCTTATTTCAGGTTATTCTATATTTCATATTCGTTTTTGAGGAGTATGGACAGCTTATGGCTAACATATCTAGCCTAATATATCTAGTCTGTTAGTTCACTGAGATTAGTGATCTCTTTGTGTATGCTTGTATTTAGCAAAATAGATTATGTTTATCAGCAATGTTTATAGCATTTTTAAGAAGCAATGATCTACAATTGACTTCAACCAAAAAGCCAACAACTCATTATTTACCTCAGTAGTTCTAATAGTGATGTAACCATGTTCTGCAAGCGTAAAAGAAAATGCCAATGCTAGGTAGGGATTTCTTTATATTAGCTTATTAATAGAATGTTTACCTGTTTTTAAATCAGATGAGCTAAGTAGCTGCTCTAGACTAGCTATGTGAGTGTTTGCAGAGGACACAGAATCAGTGTCTGTGGTTTCCATTCCTTCGCCTTCTTCTCTGGCAACAGAATACAAATCCAACACTGGAAGGTCAGTTGGTCTTCTTTCTCTTAAGCTTTTCACAGGCTGCTGTTGACCTGTAGGATCCGCATAGGAAAAAAAAGAAAAAGGAGAGTGTGGAAGTATGAGAGAGTGGTGTAAAAGAGTGAGTGTGTGTGTGCACACATTAGTATACATTTCTATGTATACAATTAGGGATGCACCAATACCATTTTTTCTGTATTGAGTACCGATATTTTTATTTTGGTACTCACCGATACAAAACACCAGAAGTCCCATTAAGGAAGCCGGGCAGCGTGTAAAGACACGACGCCAGGGTTTCTGAATAGCCGGGAAGCTGTCTCCCTGCTCCCTTGTCACCAGGTGACGAGGAAGCATGGAGCCAGCTTTCTGGCCAATCAGGAAGCTGGGCGGCGATTCATTACACGGCACCCAGCTTCCTGATAGGCCCGGGAAGCCGGCTCCGTGCTACCCCATCACCAGGTAAGGAGGAAGCATGGAGCCGGCTTCCTGGCCAATCAGGAAGCCGGGGGCAGGTAATGACTCGCCGCCCCGGCTTTCTCATTGGCCAGCTTCCTGACCAATCAGGAAGGTGGATGGCGAGTCATTACACGCCGCCCAGCTTTTTAATTGAGCTGGTTTCCCAACCAATGCTTCCTGGTGACGAGGGAGCATACAGCCAGCTTCCCTGCCAATCAAAAAGCCAGGCAGTGTGTAATGACTTGCCGCCCGTCTTCCCGATTTTAGAAGTTTCAATATGGGGATAGGCATCGGGAGCATTTGGGCATGTACGAATACTCACCCAAATACTCGGTATCGGTGCATCCCTATATGCAATATAGTAAATCAATATTGTATTCTAAGGTTACTCTTCATTAAACATATAACAACTCTTGTGCAGCTCCACAGGACAATAATCTATCTAAAGCCTGCCACACATGATTAGAGTTTGTTGCATGATTCAAGTCTATGGAATACAAATGGCAGACTATGGTAACACTCAAATAGGTTGTAATTTGTGGCACAATCTTTTTATTCTTCTCTGGGGAGTTGGAGAGATTACCTGCCACTAGCAATTACTGAGAGCTTCCCCAAGCAGGCACGAAATTGTAGATGTCATGTCAGCAGATAAAAGTTCATCACATAGAATCAGATTCTTTCAGGCATGAGCTCAAGCTCATATATGTTGAGAAAGCTTTTTTATTTCCAATCTGAAGTATTTTACAATGATATTACTGTGATATACAGTAAACTCACAGTTATCCGGCACCTGCGGGGATCGGTAGGTGCCAAATAGTTTCTATAATAGTTTATAGAAACTCTCAAGCAACCACTCCCTATGTAAGCAGCCAGGAGCAATAGCCAGAATGCTAATGGCTATTGCAAATTGCCATACCAGGCTGGTTATTAAAACCCCACCTACTGAGCAAAGGAGCAGACCTGAGGAGAGGAAGTTCTCTCTCAGGTCCGCAGCTCTGCTCAGTGGGCAGGTGCAACAGCCAGCCTGCAATTGGCCATTTCGAATTGCAATAGCAGGCTGGATACCAAAACCCTGCCCACTAAGAAGAGGAGTGGGCCTGAGAGAGAAAGTCCGCAAAAAAATAATAATTTTTATTGCTGGTTGCTTGAATGCTGGATAATGGGAAGTTTACTGTACATCAAAAAATGCAGTATCAAGATGCAGTGATGTTCTATTCCTATGCACTTATATAAGGCATATGTGATTTCTTTGTTTGCTTTGCAGTCATACAAGGAAAAAATATAACACACAGCCTTGAACACTGAAGTAGCAAGCTGATTAGGGATTCTGCAAACACTTTCTTGATGTTGTTAAACTTTGCATACACGAACAGATGTTATTATCATGTGTCTCTCACACAGTCCACCAGCTGAGTACATTTGTATCTACATAAAGATCATTTTAACACTTGGCTGCCAAATTAAGGTTTTAGCCATTAAATAAAATGGAAGGAGTAAACAACATACAGGTTTTTCTAATGAGAGCAGACTAATACTTGTCACTACTTTTTGAAATACCTATCACATATGACAAATCCAGGCCTTTTTTTTTTTCAAACATCTACTTTTCCGGAAAAAGCATGCATCACACAGTGATAAGAGAGAAAGCCTTGACAACAAGAGTAGTCACTCCTACTCTGGTTGCATTAATGGGATTCCACACTTTGCAGTACTCAGCAAAAAAGACAGAAAAAAAAATAAAAGAAATCTGCAGCTGGAATTTGCCGAACTCTAATTTAAACTTTGAGCTTAAAGGAGAACTATGGGGTCAGTGTTTTTCCCCATAGTTCTCCTAAGGGTCACGGGTGGACACAAACTAGCGTCCTCCCGTCACCCTAAGCTCAGTATACTCAGAGCGCCGCAGCCGGGACGGATCCTGACATTACTGTCGAGATCCGCCCAGCTGCGTGACTGACAGCTGGCCCTGCCTATCTAGAGGCAGAGCCAGCTGTACCCGCCCCCTCCCCGTCCGTTCCGCCAGTCAGCGCTGGGGGATCGGACAGGGGAGGGGGGGAATCCCTGTGGGGGGCCGGGAGCGACAGTTACGGCTCTCTGCAGGGACAGGATCGAGAAGTGAGCGAGCGACGTTATGTGTTCGTTCACTTCCCGATCTATTGAGCCGACGTGTGACAGTTTCATTGTCATGCGTCGGCTCGAACTATGAGGCTCAGTGATTTTCACTCATCTCATAGTTCTCCTTTAATTCAGTCCCATCTGCAGGCTGCTAAGTAGAACTTTGCATATTTATGATGCAACAGCATATATACAGAACAGACAAATATGCAGTTACCGGGGAACATAGCAATTTGCTTTAATGCAAAAAAAAAAAAAACTTGTGTTGCGATCCGATATGTAATATATTATGAATTTACCAAGATTCACATGGAATATGTAACCACTAGTGACTGCGAAATTTTCTTTTTCTTTAGCCTAAAGGACACCACACCTACTAATCTAATGCATGCTTTGCTTGCATTTATGAAGAGCTCTAATTTTATGCAGTATTCAAAATAATCAAAATAAAATATTACAAGCAAAATATTAGCAACAGTTTCATGCTTACTTGTTAGAGTAACTTCACTCTTAACTTGGAAGAGCTGGGCTTCTACTTTGGACAGCTCCTGCTGCAGAGTCTCTACAGTCTTCCTGTGATCATCTTGGAAACGCCTCACTTGGTCCCTGAAGTTGTTGCGTTGTGCTTCATTTTGAGCACTCAGCTGACTCACTTCCTGGGCATGCTCAGTCTTCAGCACCATGTTTTCTGACTGCACTGTACACAACCTGTAGAATAAAACCAAATACGACAAAAGATTGACATTGTGTATACAATAAACCCATTAACCATATTCTCATCAAAAATGTAGTTTATCAAAAGTCCTTCTTTAAGATCCCTCATTGGGTTTCTATTGGCATCTTTGCTTTTGTACTTAAAACCATCCTTCTTGCTGGTGGTGAAGGAGCTCCTTCTCCTAAGAAGTTGCCGCTAGAACCCCTGAAGAAATTTTTCCTACTGCCAAAGATATCCATTAGAGAGACAATGGTTCTGCCAGACAGAAGTGAGAGAAAATCTGCAACAGTAACACATATGCTGTACATCTTTACGATAGAGGCAGATTTCCCCATGTTTTACCCCTTTAACCACTTCCCGGTCGTTGTAAAAAAACGGCCGTCCAGGAGCTCTCTAGATCTGAGCAGGCGTCTTTAGATGTCCGCTCAGCCACGCCCCCTTGCAAGCGCCGAGGACAGAGTTGGACAACACTTTTCAGATCTGCAGTGAATGTAATATAAAGCTAACAATTCTGGAAAGGGAGCAATGGAAAAGTCTTGAAAACAAAATCACCACAAACAATAAACTGAAATATATGCATTGTATACTTAAATTAGGCTGACCATAGACAGGTAGCTACCACAGCGAATAATGGGTAGGGAGAGACCCGTTAGTCCTTGCATGACTAAAATGGACACCATAGCCCATCCTGACCTTGTCTAAAGCTGCACAGAAGAGCATGTGGGATACTTCTTAACTTTTATCTTTCTACAAAGAATGGTAAAGGATCCATACTTTCTGAGCCATTACTGGCCATAATGACTGGCGCACTTAGTCATACTTTGTCCTTTTGCAGCACATGAATGGCCAAATTACTGCTTTCTTTTACTGAGCCATCTATGGCCAGATTTAGTCTAATGTTTACATTTCTTCCTAGGGAGATACCATAAAATGACTCACTTTTCTCTCAGTTCAGCTTCTTTGGTCACCGTTTCTTGCAGCATTTTATTATGCCTTTCCAATAACATGTCATGTTCAGACTGCAAAGCCTGCAGCTCCGCTGTGTTCATCTGAAGACTGTGCTGAGCTTCCTGTAGTTTATTTTTTACTTGATCCAACATTGTTTGTAGGTGCTCCCTAAAGCCAATACAGAAAACACGAACATTTATAAAAGAAAATACTAGTTTTGTACCGAGTATTTTCATGCTCTACAGAATAAAGCATCACTAGAAAATATTAGTCTGCATTCAGGAATTGCAGTTTATTTTTGTATCAGTTTCACGTACCTTTCCTGCTTGAAGGCCTCATGTTCTGCTTGAGATGCAGACTTATTTTTCTGTTGCTTTAACACGTTATGAACACGAACTTTGTAGCTTTCAAATTCAGCAGTAACTGTAGCTTGCTCTGCCTGTATCATAAAAAAGAAACATATTACAGTATAGTAAACATAGCACCATTATAATTAAAATGTTCATTTTTAGTGGACTGTGCTGTTGTTTTCCGTGCATTTAACGCAGTACCCCAAACAAAGAATCTGGTTGACTGCTGTGAACAAAATTTACTTTTTTTTGCTTTGCTTTTCCAAAGTCGGGGATAATAAAAGTGCATCTGTTCTTCTTTACTGCTATAATGTAGCTATAGAATACATTTGGGCCTGGAAACTTGAAACCAGTGGTGTAGTTTGGTTTTGTGCTGCCCTAGGCAAGACTACACTCTGGCACCCCCCAATTAAAATTTGCCCCACCGCTACCTTTTCAAGACATTTTGCGTAACCTGGCAATCGCTGAATACAGCATGCACGCTGTATCCAGCTTTTCACAGGTTGCGCTATTAGCATAGTGGGGAAGCCTGCTGCGCATTCTGCTTATCCTGTCAGAGGCTGGATGCGAGTGCCTGTTTAAATAGTAATAGGCACGCGCTGTATCACTTCTGCTAGTGTTGGAGAAAGGAGACCGAGCTCGTTGGTGGATTTGGGTAAGGATAATTTTTTTCTTTTCTTTTCTTTCTCTTATTGGCCGGTGAGGCCCTGTCTCACTGGTTTGTAGGGATGCACCAATACCATTTTTTCCTGACCGAGTACGAGTACCGATACTTTTCCTCAAGTACTTGTCCAAGCCGATTCTTTTTTTTTTGTGTCATATAAGTTTTCCTAAAATAATACACACTGATGATTTTAGGATAGTTGTGAAGTGCCAGGGCCCGCTCCCAGCTGCAAAGGCTGCACCCCTGGTAGTTCTGCAACTGACTCCAAGCTGTAAAGGGACTACAAATCTCAGCAATATATTATACAGCAATGCCGAATACCACCAGCTATAGAGGACTACAATCTCCAGCGATACATTATACAGCAATGCAGAACAATACCATCAGCTATAAAGGACTACAAATCCCAGAGATGCATTATACAGCAATGCAGAACAGTACTATCAGCTATAGACGACTACAAATCCCAGCAATACATTATACATCAAAGCAGAATAATATAATGCTACATATGCTGCTGCTTGTGGGTGCCAGCCTGATATGTCCAGCAGAAGATCACAGGAAGGTTGTGCGGGTTCTATGATAGGATGTGGGAAGGAGATGATATGCAGGCTGGTGCTGTAAAGAGGGGAGGGAGGAGGAGATTTGCGGGCCACGTGGTTTACAGGAAGTCAGCAAGCACGGGACCTCAGGTAGCCGCTTCCATTTAAGAGTTGAAAGTGCCATCACTGGCACTTAGTATCGGGCCTTTTAAGAGTACGTGGGTGTCAGTGCCCAGTATAGGCACCAATACCGCTGTCGTTGCATCCCTACTGGTTTGGGGACAGCGTTTTTTGCCCCCCATTGGAAAGTCCCTGCCCTTGTCAACTCGGATCAGGTGGGCTTTGGCAAGGGTCAACACTATCAAAGCGTTGCTGCTAATGCAACATGCCCAATCCTCAAAAAATCCTCTGTCTTTTTATCGGTTGATGCTGACAAAGCCTTTGACTGGACTGGCTCTTTCTCAACTTTGAATCCTTCCTCGAACGATCCGTAACCTTGCTCATTAGAACTGTAAAAAATGATCCTGGTTGGGTAGGATTAATGTATTGAAAATCGAGGTTATGCCATGATTTCTATACTTGTTTCAAATTGTGCCCATTGCACTTCCTAAATTGTTGCTACGGTGCAACAGAAGTGCAGAAGACCTTTATTAACGGCTTTTGTATCTCTTCTTTTGCAGGACTCCCCCACCGCTCATACTGTTTTGCAAATATTCTCTATTGTTTCTTTCTCGTCTGCTCTAAACCTACCTTCCTACACATCTAAATGGGGCAGGGAAATAGGATTATCCATTGATCTAGTTAATGAATTAATGCATTTATTTATGATTGTTTGCATCATTTGCACCCTTCTGTACCCCATTCTTTTTGGCTGTGTCAGCGATCTCCAAGGCATATGACTCACATTTGGTGAGGTTGTCCTCTTATCAAAGAATTTTGGTGGATGGTTTTGGGAGTCTTACCACAGAGTGACAGGTTCCAGGGTTTCAAATGATCTAAAATAAAATGGTTCTATTGTCCATGATTCCAGGCTCTCTGAAGTCTGTGAAAAGAGCGGTCATCCCATGACATTGGTGCTCTCCCGTGATCTCTCTCTTATCCAAATGGTCTGCAGTCATGGATCATGGATTTGTAACTCCTTTTGGAGTCTCAACATAATATCTGGGAGCGGTTCACAATTACTTGGTCTACCTGGCTTGTGTTTCGTGACTTACTGGTATTTCTGGATATGGTTTTGCGATAATTATTGTGGTCTAAATCTGGGATTTTGGCAGAGATGGGTGCTTTTTCTTTTCCTCTACTTTCCTTTTCTTCCTAACACTGTTATTTCTCTCTCTGGGCTGTTTCTCTTTTCCTATTCTCCCTCTTTTTTCTGTTCTATTTTACTCTTTCCTTACATTTGCGTTAATCTTTAATGCATGCGTATAGTTTGTTTATGCTTCATCCGCTTAGATTTTGCTCCATGGTATAACGGGACATCCACGTTGGATACTGTATATTTTGCAAGTTCATTATGATTGATTGTAATGTCTTCCTTATATTGTAAAGTGCTGCGCAAACTGTTGGTGCTATATAAATCCTGAATAATAATAATAATAATAATTATGTAGAGGAATACTCCGGCACACCCTTGATATATCGGGCACACTTTCAATGTTTTTCACTGACTAGGGGTTTTGCCTGTTTAGGAAGGGGTTCCTCCTACCCATAACAGGCACTGTGTGGATCTTATGTTTATGGAAATTATTTATTTGACTTTATCTTTACTTGTTCTTGCTGTAATATTTTAGTATTCTTGTACATTTTGGCCTCTTGCTTTTGGCTGTAAAAATTTTAATTAGGGCTGCAACAACTAATCGACATAATCGATTATTGAAAAAGTTGTCAACTTTTTCAATAATCGATTAATCGGCTTCCGATCAGTTGGCCCTGTTCACCGCTCCACACATACGCTGCGCGCCGCACCTCCTCCCCAAATCACGCTCATCGCTGCCAGACCCGCCCACCCTTTACACGACGCACCTCCCTCCTCACACTCACCGCCCGCCCACATCCACAGGGACGCGGGGGGATGTAGTAAGGAGGAGCAGGTGTGGGGGGATGACAGCCGTCGACAGACAGACCCGATCTCAGAAGCAAGTTGCTGGAAGACTGCTCAGGTAAGCCTGCACTTTCCCCCACATGGTGCTCTATAATGTATTGCTGGGATTTGTAGTCCTCTATAGCTGATGGTACATTGTGCTGTATATTATACATAGGAATACAAATCCCAGCAATACATTATACACTGTATGTATAATGTACTATTGCTGGGATTTGTTGTACTCGTCTATAGCTGGTGGTATTCTGCACTGCGCTGTATAGAGGACTACAAATCCCAGCAATAATACATTATACAGCACCATGCGGAATTCCACCAGCTATAGAGGAGCACTCCTCTATAGTTGGTTATATTCTGCATTGCGCTGTATAATGTACTATAGCTGGGATTGGTAGTCCTCTATAGCCGGTGCCATTTTGCATTCATTGCTGTATAATTTTACACTTTCCATTTCACTATATTGCACACCACACTATTTTTTTTTCTTTTTTACTTCCACCGCTCCAAGCTTGCTCCTGTGATGGACTGCAATCTCAATACAAACTACTAGTCCCATCACTGGAGCCATTTTTTAAAATGTATTTTATTGTTTATCCGATTAATCGAACTTAATAATCGGCTAACTAATCGATTTTGAAAATAATCGTTAGCTGCAGCTCTAATTTTAATAAACTAAGATTGAACTAAAAAAATCAAATGAAAAGCTTGTCCATATTGTACAGGTATAGCTCTCTAGTCATAGCAGTTGCTCCTGTCTAATAAATATGACATATACTCAAGTGAAGATTCGCTAAGCAGCACACAAAGTTATACAGTTTGTCTGGAATTCCTCCTGAAAAATAGTAGAGGACTTCCAGGTATGCGAGGTTGTTGAGACACTTCTGTATCCCTATAGATGTATATCTGCAGTTAGAATTTAAGTCACTGATACCTCTGACTGGATACTTGAAGAAAATTTAGTGATATCACTACTGTGCTGCTCACTCTTTTCCTAGCTGGAGGATCTGACATAAAGAAGCAGAGCCCTGTCTTTACCAAGATGGCCCCACACAGAGAAACAGAACAAGTCATTTTTAGATTGCAAGCCCTCAGGGGCAGGGCCCTCCTTACCATCTTGTGTTGAATTGTATTGTGATTGTAATGTTTTCCTTATATTGTAAAGCGCTGCACAAACTGTGCAGATCAGCTGCAGAGACACCACTGGCAATACTGGTGACCTGTCCTGTGTCCTCAAGCCTACCTTTCTCATGATCTGTTCTGCTTATACACCATCTTAAAGTGGTTCGAACAGTAAATTAAATTCTGCATAAATAAATTTCAGCTAACAATATTTGGAAACAATGATCTAATATATCATGTTCATATCTGTCTATTTCCCTGCATTCATGTTTTCAAAGTAGTGTTAGCCAAAGCACACAGAGCTACGTTTATCTCGATTAACTGTACAAAAGAGAAAATGTGTCATGCATTCTGTGATAGTGAACACTGAGGCCTTGTTAATGTTGTAATTTAATATACTGGAGTGCAAGATAGGAAGCATCACTGGCTCGAACAGAAAGCTATACAACAGGAAGCATGAGGTCAATAGGGAACAGATGTCTTCAGTGGGAAAAGCAGCTTAAGCAGAGCACAAGTATGCTTCATTCTCGACATGAAAGGTTACAAAAGACTGACAATAAAATTTCCAGTGAGAAATAAATACCAAGAAAAAACAGATCTGCAGGCACAAGCATTAGAGCTGTTCATTCAGGCTGAGCTAAAATACAACTCAGGAGGCACTCTTACATGTCATAAGTGAAGTGATATATGAAAGCTGATGGAAACTGGAGGGAGTGGGGGATTTGTTAGGAATGTGCCGAGGACAGATGGTGCAGATGAGGAAAAAATGTGTAATCCTGTATATTCACTAAGACAAAAGTAACTATTATTATAATACAGGATTTATACTAAGAGATAGAAGTTTATTTTGTAAACCAGCCCCTCCTAATATTAAGAAACAGGAGTGTTCACATATAAACAATCTAAATTTTAAGTTGCTCCACGTTACTGTACGATTGTACACATTCTCTTTTAGAATTACAAAAAAAAATTTATTGGAAGG